CGGCGCGGGAATCGGGGTCCCCCCGTCACTGCAAGACTTGCCCCCGCGTCTCCGGCAGTTTCAGGGCGAGGGAGCTGCCGAGGGCCAGGGCGGCGGAGGCCAGGAGGATGGGCACCGCCTTGGTGATGCCCACGAAGGAGGTGAAGATGCTGATGCCCAGCACGGCCGCCAGCTTGCAGAGGGCGTTGAGGAAGCCGAAGGCCGTCGTCCTGCGGGCGCGGGGACAAGGGGGTGGCATCGCGTGGCCCCGAGGGGCCGTTTGCGTCCCGCGTCCCGCAGCGCGCAGGCGGCACCCGAAAATTCGCACCCGGCACCCCGTGCTTTGCAGCCAGCACCCAAAACCTTGGACCCAGCGTCCCACATCTGGCACCCAGCACCCCAAACCTGGCACCTGGCACCCAAAAGGTTGCACCCAGCGCTCCAGCTCTGGCACCCAGCACCCAAAACTCTGTACCCAGCACCCAAGACCTCACATCTGGCACCCAAAACTTTGCAACCAGCACCCCAGATCTGGCACCCAGCAGCTGGCACCCTGCACCCAGCACCCCATGCCTCGCAGCCAGCACCCAAAACCTTGTACCCACAACCTGGCACCCCACACCTGGCACCCAGCACCTAAAACCTCACAACCTTGAGCCCAGCACCCCACATCTGGCACCCAGCACCCCACGTCTGGCACCCAGCACCCAAAACCTCAGTCCTGGCACCTGAAACCTCACACCTGGCACCCAAGACCTCATACCCAGCACCCCACATCTTGAAACCAGCACCCAAAACCCTGCATCTAGCACCCCATGCCTTGCACCTAGCACCCGAAACCTCACCCCCAGCAACCCCCATCTCGCACCCAGCACCCAAAACCTCACACCTGACACCCTACAACTTGCACCCAGCACCCAAAACCTCACCCCCAGCACCCCATGCCTTGCACTTAGCACCTGAAACCTCACCCCCAGCACCCCACATCTGGCACCCAGCACCCAAAACCTCCCCGCCAGCACCCGCCAGCTCGGCCCCCGCGGGGTGCCGGCCGCGGGGCCGCCCGCACCTCTTGTCGGAGGGGTAGAGCTCCACGGTGAGCACGTCGAGGGCGTTCCAGGAGGCGATGCTGACGCCGCCGAAGAGGCAGAGCAGCGCGATCATGGCCGACTCGCTGTTGCCGAAGGAGAGGAAGAAGCAGCTGACGCAGGACATCACGCTGGAGCCGGCTGCGGGGGGACACGGGCACACGTCAGGGCTGGGAGAGGGGACGGGCGCCCTCCGCGTCGGGGAGGGGAAACTGAGGCAGGAGATCATCGAATCCCAGAATGGTTTGGGTTGGGAGGGACCTTCAAAGCCCCTGCTGTGAGCGGGGCCATCTTCACCCAGACGGGGCTGCTCGGAGCCCCCTCCAGCCTGGCCTTGGATGTGTCCAGGGATGGGGCGTCCACCGCCTCTCTGGGCACCCGGGCCAGCGTCTCACCACCCTCAGCGTAACAAACTTCTTCCTCGATGCCCACCCAGCATGCGGAGGCGGCCGATCTTGTCCATGAGGAGGGCCGAGACGATGTTCCCGGGGAGGACGGCCAAGGTGCCCAAGAAGCTGACGAAGTAGATCATGTAGGCGTTGTTGTCGTCGCTGAAGTCCAGCTGGCAGCCCTCCTTGTTGTGCAGGAAGGTGCTGTTCACCACCCGGCTGTTGATGAACTTGTACTCAAAGAGATCTGTGGGGATGGCGAAGGGGTTTGGCGGGGTCGCCTCCCTCTCCCTCACCCCCTCGGCGAGCGGCCTGCCGCCTCCCACCTGTGTTGTAGAAGACGGTGGAGATGAAGGTGCAGTTCTTGAAGAAGGTGTTGCTGGAGGTGATGTCCTCGAAGTAGCACTCCTCGAAGAGCGAGTCCTCGAACGTCACCGACTTCATCTTCAGGCCGATGAACCTGGTGGGGTCGGATAGGGGGGAAGAGCCCGGCTCATCACCTCCGCTCATGCAACGAGCGGGCCCGGCCTCAGCGCCTGCCCAGGACGCACTTGTCGTTGAAGTACTCCCCGCCCTGGTGGATCTGGTTCTCCAGGGTGAAGTTGAAGGTGAAGTGCCGGACCTTCTCGCGGGTGAAGAGCTTGGTGCGCGAGGCGTACTCGATGTTCTGCAGGTGCTTTATCATGTCCGGGAACCAGACCGTCAGCCCGTAGTAGCTGCGGGGAGAGGGGGGCTGAGCCCCGGCACCGCGATGCCCGCCCCGTCCCAGTGCTGCCAGTCCTGTCCCAGTGCCGCCCATCCCATCCCAGTCCCATCCCAGCACTGCCCATCCCATTCCAGTACTGCCTGCCCCATTCCAGTGCTGCCCATCCTATCCCAGTGCTGCCCATCCCACATCAGTGCTGCCTGTCCTGCTGCCCATCCCATCCCAGGCCCATCCCAATACTGCCAGTTCCATCCCAGTGCTGCCTGTCCCATCCCAGTGCTGCCTGTCCCATCCCAGTTCCATTCCAGTGCTGCCTGTCCCATCCCAGTGCCGCCTGGCTCCCTCCCGGTGCTGCCAGCCCCATCCCAGTGCCGACTGTCCCATCCCAGTTCCATTCCAGTGTTGCCTGTCCCATCCCAGTGCTGCCTATCCTATCCCAGTGCTGCCAGCCCCATCCCAGTGCTGCCTGTCCCATCCCAGTTCCATTCCGGTGCCGCCTGGCTCCCTCCTGGTGCTGCCAGCCCTATCCCAGTGCTGCCCGGCCCCGGCCATGCCGCAGGGTGACAGCACCCCTGGGTGCCCCCGCTCCTCGCCGGGGCTGTCCCACCCCAGCCCGGCTGGCGGGTCCCCCCGTCCCCACCTGAAGGACATGGTGAACCACACGGCCATCATCATCAGCGTGACGCGGCGGTACTCGGGCGCGAAGCACTGCTGGAAGTTGCTCCAGACCTAGGGGGGACGGGAGGGGTGAGGGGGGGACGCGGCGAGAGGTTGAGGAATCGGACGAGCCAGCGCCGGTACCACGTGCCGGTGTCCGACTGGATCTCGATGAGTTCGTCCTCCCGCTTGATGGTCTTGATGTGGGTGACCTGCGGGGTACGGGGGGGGACAGTCTGGGGACGCTGGGAAGCGCCAGCCTCAGCCAAGGCTCCCTGGTGAGAGCCGTCCCCACCTTGTGCCTCAGTTTCCCCACCTGTTAAAGCAGGGCTGACCCCTCCGGGCGCTGCTTTTCCCGGCGGTGGGAATTTGCAGCCCCCTGCTCCTCCAGGAGCCCACCCCTGGGGGCTGCTGGGTGCCCGCAGGCTCAGCCCCGGGGCGGGGGCACCTTACCGAGAAGACCCTCTCAGGGTGGCCCTTGGCCCTCATGTTGGTGTCGTGGACCTGCTTCAGCACCATCCAGGCCTCGTCGTGCTTGCCGTTCTGCAAGGCAGAGCCTGGGCTCACCCCGGGACCAATCCTGCCCCCGTCCCACCGCCCACTCAGGGTCCCTGCCTGGGTCCCCCCATCTCCGCCACCAGCTCAGCATCCTCGCCCAGCTCCCCACCATCCCACCGCCCACTCGGGGTCCCTGCTTGCACCCCCAGCCCCCCAGCAGGACCCGGCCCTGCCTTCCCCCAGGTCCGCTCACCTCCAGGAAGAAGCGGGGGCTCTCGGGCATGGTGGTGAGCGCCCCGATGGCGAAGACTGAGGGGAAGGCGCAGACCAGGACGAAGACCCTCCAGCTGTGGAACTGGTACGCCGAGCCCATCTGGAAGCTCCAGCCTACGGACATGGGAGAGGATATGGCGGTCGTGCTGAGACCCGCCAAACTCGCTGCATGCTCCGGCACCGGGAGGCTCTTACCGTAGTGGGGGATGATGGCCCAAGCCATGGCGGAGGCGTAGATGCCCCCGATCATCCAGAACATGCAGAGCCAGCTCAGGTGCTCCCCACGTTTCTCCTGCGCCAGGAACTCCGAGAAGTAGGAGAAGACGATGGGGATGGAGCCGCCGATGCTGGGGACGAAGGGCAGAAGGGCGTCACCACCCGCCCCGCCATCCCCGCCGCCGCGGAAAACGGGGGGTTTCGGCACGGCAAGGGAGCGGGAGGGAGCTCAGCCCCCCAGCATGGGGGTCCCCTACACGGCGCCGTGCCCCCCTTACCCCACGCCCGAGAGGAGGCGGCAGAAGAGGAAGGTGCCGTAGCCTTGGACGAAGGAGGAGAAGAAGGCGAAGACGCTGTTGACGGAGAGGGAGATGAGGAGGCACTGCCTTCGGCCCAGGCGGTCGGCCAGCCCGCCCCACAGGAAGGCGCCCACCATCATGCCCAGGTACACGATGAGCCCTGGGGGGGGACGGGAGGCGGCGATGTCAGCCCTGGGGGACCCAGGGGCCTGCACCCCGAGCCACCCGGCAGAGGGTGATGCGCTCGGGGCAGGGGCTCGCTGCTGGGGGGCCACGGGGGTGGCGGCGACCCCCCCGAGCGGAGCACAGCCGGGGTCCCTGGGTCCCCTCTGCGCGGGGCCACGGGACGGGGGGGCAGAGGGGCCCCCAGCCCCGGCCGGGTCCCCCGGCCCCCCCC